CTCCCTCCACCCACCCCAAAAAGCAGGAAAAGAGCTCAAAATGGCTTTAGTCGGTAAAATAAAGAACTTTGAAAATAAGAGCAGAAGTGTTTTGCGAGAATATTGAATGAAATGATGTACACAAATGGCATAAGGTCTAATGATGGCTATAGCTGAAATACAGTTTGAGTTGGTTTTAAAAAGCAGTCTTAAGTAATTGTCTGTCCATTACAGCACATCCCTCTAAAGATGTAGTGGATAGAGATGGTTTGTGTTAAAGTCTCATTGAAAACTGAACTGTATGCATATCTTTATACCTTTTATTTGTCTATCTGCTCATTTCCTCCTTCAGGGGTTTGTTTTAAAATATCAGAATTGTCCAGTTAGATTTATATCTCTGATTGATGATTTCTTACCTCTTTTCCTTCTTTTGCTTTCTCAGAAGTTCAGGTTTATTAGGAAAAGGTGTTTGTTTCATTGATAGATTGGCATTTGTTTTGCAACATGGTCTCACTCTGTAACCCTGAACTTAACTGTTCAGACCAGGAACTCATGGACATTCTTCTTGGTGGAGTAGGCATTAGCCACCATGCCATCCTATTTAAATGATTTTTTTTCCCATTTATTTGTCTTGTGTCCATGAAACACAGCACACATGTGAAGATCACAGGACAACTTGCAGTAGTCAGTTCTTTCCTTTCCTTGTAGATGCAGAGAATCAAACTCCTGTGACCAGTCAGGCTTGGAGGCGATAGGTCTTGCTGGGGGAGCCCATCTGGCCATCCCAAGAAGAGGATTATTTGTTGGGGTGTTTTGTTTTGTTTTGAGACTGGGTCTCACTGTGTAACCCTGGTTGAGCTGGAACTGCCCCAGAGATCTGTCTACTGAATGCTGGGATTAAATGCACCATCATTAAATGCACAAGCTCAAGAAAAGGTTTTAATGTAGATTTACTCACTGTATTGAAAGAAGAGTCATTAATAAAGTTACTTTTGTTCCAGCCCTCGTGAGGCAAAGGCAGGTGGATCTCTGCGTTTGAGGCCATCCTGGTCTACAGATCGAGTTCCAGGACAACCTCCAAAGCAATACAGAGAAACCTTGTCTCGAAAAACCAAAATAAATAATAAAATAAAGTTATTTTTGTTGTTTCCCTTAGGAAGTTAGTCTTGTTTAATATGTATGATGAATTAACTATTATCACTGCTTTAGTATTTTTGTTTAAGGAAAACAATTCTCAGTCTTTTCATTGCTTTAACATATTTGTTCATGGTGGGGGTGGGGGGGGTCATGTGGTCTTAAGTAGCCCATATTAGCTTCCCCTCACTAGGGATTTAATACACAAGGATAGCCTTAAACATCTGGTCCTCCTGCCTCTACCTCCTGAGTGCTGTAATCACACAGTAACTCTTTATACCTAGCTCTTCTCCTTACTTTAGAATTTACAAAGAACTAACATGAAACTTCTCATCCTCCCCAACTCTCCCACTACCTGCCATACCAAGAACGTCTTCTGACTTACAGGTGTTATTACTGGCATTTTGTTGTTATTGTTCACCAATTTGAAGTATTGAAAAAAAATTAACTTTGTCCATTTATCTGCTATGGCTTCTGCATGCCTTATTATCAGGAAATTTTGAATCTTACTGATATTCTGCTTCATTTTCCTGCCACTAGACTCATTCTCCTTTATCTTAATGAGCCAACCCAATAATTTTCAAATTTTCACTGTTAGCTCCAAATTATTTCCTCATGGATCAGTTGTCAGTTCCTCAATAAAACACTCCAAACTTCTCACACAGAGGTAAGCATTTATTCTAACTTCAGAAGTGGGCAGTTTCCACCTAGGTTGGCTCACCTAAACAGTTTAACCCTGCTCTCTATTAGTCCGATTTTGTTTCATATATCTTTCATTCTTGTTGGACCAGCTCTAATAAGAGTTGGAATATGTGAATTTTGTCTCCTTAAACTCATGTTCTTCTTTTGCATACAAGTCTAGACTTTCTCAAACTTTCTGTCGTTTTTTTGTTCTGTTCTTCCCAAGACAGGGTGTATCTCTTTAGCCCTGGCTGTCCTGGAACATGCTCTATAGACCAGGTTGTCCTTAAACTGCTGGGACTAAAGGTGTGCACCACCATCATCCAGCCTACTTTTTAAAATCTTTACACTTCTGAATTTTATTTTGTTTTCCTTGTGCTTGTGTGCATTCGAGGTAAGGGGAGGGAGGAAGAGGAAGAGAGAGAGATGCAATAGCATCACTGAACCCAGAACTTCCTGCAGGCCTCTACCACTGTGCTGTATGCCTGGACTCTTCCCTTTTTTTGTTGTTTTTTTTGTTTTTTTTTTTGTTTGTTTGTTTTTCGAGACAGGGTTTCTCTGTGTAGCTTTGGAGCCTATCCTGGCACTCGCTCTGGAGACCAAGCTGGCCTCGAACTCACAAAGATCCACCTGCCTCTGCCTCCTGATTGCTGGGATCAAAGGCGTGTCCCACCAATGCCCAGCCTAGCAGAATGTTCTTTAAATCATTTTTTTAATACAGAGTCCAATTAAATTGTGCTGTTTACATTTGTCAAGTCTTGCTGGGTTTTTTTTGTAGTCTGGGGTCATAGTCTTTTTCTTGATTTATCTAGCTCTCTTTTTATTCTCGAACGTTTTATAGTTTTCATTGGTTTTTATATATCCTTTAAAAAATACCTCTAGGGCTGGAGAGATTGCTCAGAGGTTAAGAGCACTGACTCCTCTTCCAGAGGTCTTGAGTTTAATTCCCACCACATGGTGGCTCACAACCATCCGTTATGAGATCTGGTACCCTTTTCTGGTGTGCAGATATACATGGAGACAGAATGTTGTATACATAATAAATAAATAAAATTAAAAAAATAATACCTCTAGGAAGCTAGAGAGTTAGTTTAGTGGTTAAAGCACTTGTTACTCTTGGTGAACCTGGTTCAATTCCCAGCACCCACATGGCTACTAACAGTCATTTGTAACCCAGTTCCAGTGGACCTAACACTTTTCTTCTTGATTTCCATAGGCACCAAGCATGCACATGGTCCAGACATACTTATAGGCAGAATGCTCAAATAAAATTTTGAAAATGTTCCTCAGTTTTTCATCATTTTAGTGGTATATAGTTTAAATGTTCCATTTTCAAAGCTTTCTTGGTAGAGAAATTGAGTTGAAAATTTTAAGTATTAAACTTTTTACACCATGATGGGTAAATTATTGATTCTGATAATTCTCTCTCTTTTTTTCTGATAATTCTCTTATAGGAGTCATTAGAAGTTTGTGTTTGTACATCCCTGTGACTGGCTTAGTTTAAGTCTGTTATGGAAAGAAAACCTACTTACTGTTCCATCCTTTGGATTGCTGTTTGTTGTTGTGCCCTCCCTTAGTCTTCCCATCCATACTCATGTTTAATTTTTAAATTACATTTATTTATTCGTGTGTCCATGCGTATGTGGTTCTGGGGAACTGAACCTATAGTGCCTGTAAGCTACTGAGCCATCTCTCTGGTCTGTGTATTCCTGTTTTAAGGGGAATTTTTGTGACTGAGGCTTTACCCTTTGGTTTTCTTGCTTTGGTCATCCTAGTAATACTGTTCTCTAAGTTAGGACTCTGTCTGTTGAAGCTGCTGCCTTTTTTTGAGGTGTAGTTTCTCATCACGTCGCTGTCACTGAGAAGAAACCTGTTTTCTTTTTTCTTTTTTTTTTTTTTTTTTTTTTTTTTTTTTTAATATTGCGTCCCTGTCCCTCCCTTCACCCATATACCTTAATGATCTACAGTGTTTGTTAAGTAGTTGTTTCATTATCCATGGTCAAGAGTTTGTCATTGTTACTATCAGGAGGATGACTTGGAAAGCATCTTTTATACCTACCAAAAACAAACAAACTTGTTTTTGTTGGAAGTGCCTCCACTACCTTGGGATGCTCGGCAGACAGATTGTAAGGATTGATTCTCTGCCTCTACCACATGGGTTCCAGAAACCCAAATCAGGTTGTCTGGTGTAGCAGCAGGCTCCTTTACTCCCCAAACTATCTTACAGGACCCAGTCCCTCCCCCTCCCACTCTTTATTTTCTTTACTTTAGAATCCCTGCCTCCTTAATTTCTATTTACTTGTCCTTTTGAAGAACTGTGGTGAGTGTTGTAAAAAGTTCCACAATGAGGATTTTTGTGATTGTGTCCTTAATATGGTGCTTGTCTATCCTTTGTGTTTTCTGCAAACCATAATTTAGTTTCTAACACTTGATTTAGCTTAGTTTGCTTGATTAAAAAAGTATCTACTTGCATTCCATCAGCAGAAGATATGTCACTGTCCCAGTATTGGTTAGGATGTTACCCTTCACTAGGGGACTACCTTTTCAAGTGTACTTGCTCTCTCCAGTGAGCCTGCAGCCTAGTTTTGGGTTTTTTCCATCCTATTCATATACAACCTTACATAATTAGGGACTGGGGAGATTGCTCAGTGCCTAAGAACACTTACTGCTCTAATAAAGGACCTGAGTTCAGTTCCCAGCACCCATGTCAGGCTGCTCTCCATTGCCTGTTACTCTAGCTCTAGGGGATCTGACCCCTTCTGGCCACAAAGGTACCCCATACATATGGTGTACAGTCACATAAACAAAACTGAAAGTAAACGAATAATTAAAAGGCTTGTTTAATCGGATATTAAATAGCAAAACATTTATCGGGCATTAGTTGTTACTGTTCAGGTCCTGTTTGTCAGCTTGAGGTTCATGTAGTTTCTGATTTATACATTTTACAGTGTGTTGTGGTTGTAAAGGTACTTATTTCTAGACTTGGAATACAACTAGATGTGACAAATGTTTTGTGTCCCCCATTGCACTTAGTAAATACATAGTAGGCACTCAGTAATCTTTTTTCCATAGAGTATTAGCTAAAGAAATCTCCAAATCCTTTTTTTTTTTTTTCTTTTTTCTATTTAAGAGCTGTTTACTCTCTGCTTTAGGTACTGTCTAAATTTAATGTTAATTATACTTCTTCCCTTTTTTTTCTCTTTTAGGTAAATGAGAAAACAGGACAGCTTATACAGTATGACAAATTTTATATACATGAAGTACAAGACCTGATAGACATAAGGAATGACTATATCAACTGGGTCCAACAGCAAGCCTATGGAGTGGTATGTCTCTGCACTTGGAGATTGAATTTATGTGCCATTTGTTAAAATGCAAAAGAAACATTTTGAAAGCAAATAAGTATATTCATGACTTCTATTCCAAACACATTATTTTCAAATAATATATTGCATACAGGCAGATATTTTTCCCAACACCAAACCAACAGTACAGATTGCATTTTTTTTAGAGAAAATGGAAGTGTGGCTTGAACTTTGAACTCTTTTGTTTCCTATAAGGTTACCTCTTCTCTAATGTTCAGAATAATAGATTGGATCTCTCAGGAATGCTATGTCTGCTTCAGAAGCTGGAGAGATCCCTGGGGCCACTGAATCTGTATTTTAATTTTATTTCAGATTATTAATATATGTCCATATGGATGAGCTTCTTTGCATGTAACCCAAGGTCTTTAGTAACCAGATTTTTAGTGTCCCATGAGAACCAAACACAAGTGGCATGCACCTGTTGTCTCAGCACTCTACCCCTGGAGGCACTGAGTTCTGAGCTGGCTTGATGGAAAAGTAGGAAAAGTAAAACCATCTATAGACAACCTGTGTTCCATCCAAGCTGAGATAGATCCTATCTCCATGTGATTTCTTTTTAGCTAGCCACTCTTTGTTTCAATATTTGCATGAAATTTGGTAGTCTTGTCATCCAAGCGCATCTTAGTACAAAGCCATGATGATATCAAACTAAATCTCATTAAGGATCTATTTTGCTGTTCACTGTTTTCTGATAAAAATGAAGTAATAGAGGACTGTAAATTTTTAGGGTTTTTCTGGTTTGTTTTGTTTTACTTCTCATTCTTTCTGGTCTATAATATAGTTCCTGCCTCCCCATTTATAAATGAGCGTGATATTGAGTGATATTATTGCAAGAAGCCGACTTTTCTTTTTTGGGTAGGTGGTGATTTCGAGACAGGGTTTCTCTGTGTTATAGCTCTGGCTGTTCTGGAACTCACTTTATAGACCAGGCTGGCCTCGAACTCACAGAGATCCACCTGCTTCTGCTGGGATTAAAGGGCAGAAATTAAATGTGTGCACCACCACCATATGGCCGTTTTTTACACAGCCCTCCTTGGGCTGGAATTTGTCAGGTAGACCAGGCTACCTTGAACTCAGCAGAGATCACCTCCCTCTGCCTCCAGAGTTCTAGATTTAAAGGCTTGTGCCACCACACCTAGCTAGCTTCCTTCCTTCCTTCTTTCCTTCCTTCTTTCCTCCCTCCCTCCCTTCCTTCCTTCCTTCCGAGAGCTCATCACACTTTCATATTTACACAGAACTTTTTTATTTTGAGATTCCTTAGAAGTAGAGTTATAGATAATTGTGACAAGCCATCATGTGGGTGCTGGGAATTGAACCTGGGTCCTCTGGAAGAGCAGCCAGTGCTCTTAACCACTGAGCCAGCTCTACATTTACATAGAACTTTTACAGACTTCTCTTTGAAGTTACAAAAATTAAGATCCACATTTCACTGCTAGTCTTAAGGCTGAGTTGGGTGTCATCTTCACACAGTATTAGTAAAGTTTTAAAGACTGTCCTAAAGATATTCTTGCTATTTTGTAATATGTGTCCATTTCTGTCTAAGCACAATTATGTATGTATATATGTACACATATTTATTTACTCACAAACATACGAATGCCAGTTTGGTTTATGGGGTCCTGAAGTTGTTTTTCTGAAGATAAGTTCTTGCTATATCCAGGCTAGATTCAACCTTGGGAAACTTCTGCTTCAGCTTTCCAGAGCTGAGACTATATCCTGTGTCACCATTGCAGCTTGTGTAAAGAGTTGTGATGAGGGGATAGAGAGATGGCTTAACAGGTTAGAGCACTAGCTGCTCTTCCAGAGTACTTGAGTTCGATTCCAGCACCCATATAATGACTCACAGCCGTGTGTAACTCCAGCTCTAGAGGATCCAGTGGCCTTTTCTGCACTCGTACACACACTCACTCTTAGACACATACAGGGTTTAAAAATAATAAGATGCAATTTTAAAGTATTTTTATTATATGTATGGGTGTTTTGCCTATATGTATATCTGTGCTCCACTTGTGTACCTGGTGCCTACTGAGGTCAGAAGATGGTATTGGGTCCTCAGGAACTAGAGTTATAGGTGGTTGTGAGCTATCATGTGGATGCTGGGAATTGAACCTACGTGTCTAGAAGAACTATTAGCTGTTGAGCCATCTCTTCCCCCTTTTTCTTTCTTTCTCCCTTCTCCCTCCTTTCTCTCTCTCTCTCTCTTTCGAATTATGATATGTGCCACCGAGCTGGCCCATCAGGTAAAGGGCATGCCACCAAGCCTGATGACCTGATTTGAATCCCTGGTACCCATGTGGTGGAAGAAACTGACTCCTACAAGTTGTCCTCTGATCTTCATACATATTCTGTGGCGTGCACATACCCCACACACACCCCACCCCCCAACACACACACAAATGAATGCATTAGAAATAAAACTTAAAATTATGACCTGGGTATGGTAGAACATACTTATGCAAAATGATCCGAAGTTCACTCTGCTAGGTCTATTTCAAAAGAAATCGAAAGATCCATGCTGGGTTTGTCACATTTGAATAACATGGAGATTTGAGTTAAGTAGCTTTTTGGGTGGGTGAGGGTTATGGTTATGTTTTTTGTTGTTTTTCTTGTGTGTGTTTTTCTTTTTCTTAATGTTATGTATTTCTAAGTCCTAAATGTCATTCATTCAGTATTGTACTGTGTGTCTAAATTTGTCCTAGGGAATTAAATTGGATAGTGATTGAAATAGCAACCTGGCATGCTCATTAGTATGATAGATGGGCAGGTGTAACATCAGAATAGACCAGCATTGGGAGGACACACTGATATTTAACTTACCCAGGTAGGGAGTTTCTTCTCAATTATCAAAGCATGTTAGAATGTAGCCACCTACAAAATTGGAGGAAAATCATGTGGAACTGTCCTTATTTCTGATAACATTTGCCAAGGCGGAACAGAGTATGTTCCTCTCTGTTCCCAGGTTCTATCATTTGTTGTAAGGTTTCATAGAACTCAATGAACTACTACACCTGTTAAGTGCATTTTGTTACAGAATGAGAGAACAAATTAAAATTGGTCAAGTGAAGACCACCAGGAAGACTCTAGGAGAGGTATCATAAATGGGTACCTGGCATTAATAGTGCTCAGAGGATTGCTAAGCACTGAAGCTGACTTGTGCCCAGTGTTTTTATTGGGTGTTTATCACTTCTCACACCGTGGCTAACTTTATACTTTGTGTATATGTGTGTTTTGCCTGCATGTATGTATGTACATACACACACACGCACGCACGCACGCACGCACGCACGCATATGTGCGTAAATATAGAGGTCAGATTTTGCCTGCAAGTGTGTATATGCACTGTGTTATGTTGGGCGAGGTGCCTGTAGAGGTCACTTTTGAGGCTCCCTGTGGGTGTTGGGAACTGAACCCCAGGCCTCTGTAGTAGTAGTAGTAGTAGTAGTAGTAGTAGTAGTGGTAGTAGTAGTAGTAAGTGCTCTTAACCACTGAGCCTTCTCTCCAGTTCCATGTCTGAACCTCCTAAAGGCAGAACTGATATCAGATGGCTGAAGTCTGCTTCAAAAATCTTATTTTTACATTGTCAGCAGTTAAAGATCCCTGTCATTCCAAAGACCCATAATAGCCTAGGACAAATACTTTAAGTTTGGATAAAGTTAATTCTTCACTACAGTAGTCACCAGGTATAAATTTAGGAACATATTTTTGAAGACAGTAGTATTTAAAGTCTAAATCCTGAGCATATATGGTATGAAAACATTCAGTAAGAAAGCATGTAACTTAGTTGGTAGAGTGCTTGTCTAACGTGTTGGAAACCTTGGATTTGATACGCAACACCAAACAAAACTGCATGATGGCACATGTCTACAGTAGTAGAGGGTGGGAAGGTCAGAGTTAAAGGTTATCCTAAATTGCATACTGAGATCAGGGCCAGCCTGAGATACATGAGATCCTGCCTAAAAATGTTTTTACATTTGTAGGCTGGGATATATGTAACATTGGCTTAGTATGTGCAAGGCCTTGGGTTTGATCCCTAGATTTGGAAGGGAAAAAGTACACATTGCTTTTCCTAGCTTCTTAAGTAAGCTTCCATTATTTTTCCTTCATAAATATTCATTTACATCCGGGGCGGTGGTGGCACATGCCTTTAATCCCAGCACTTGAGAGACAGACAGAGATAGTTTGAGGCCAGCCTGATCTACAGAGCAAGTTCCAGGAGAGCCTCCAAAGCTATAGAAGAAACCCTATGTCAAAAAAATCTTTAAAAAAAAAAAAAAGAAGAAGAAGAAATATCTTGTTTTTACAATTTAGCTATCAGTATGTTCTATGTTGTACTTCTTATTTTAAGTTAATGTTCTCAAAACACTAAGAGAGCTGGCACTTGCTAAACAAACCTAAGCACCCACAGTGCAAGGAAGAGAGCCAACTTGTACAGACTGTTTTTCGTGACCCTCCCCCCATAGGCATACCTGCATTCTCTCACAAAATAATAACAATGACAAAAAAAGTAAGGACACAGACTGAGTATGAGATTTAACTTCAGTACAGGAGATAGAGGTGGTCTGATCTCTATCATAGGCTTACATAGTAAGTTTCATTCCAACCCTAGCCATACAGCTAACTCCTGTTTCAAAAAGAAATTTTAAGGGGGAAAAAAACAACCACTATAAGATACCTTACATCTTTCTGATTATCTGGCCCATAACAGTTTATATGGCAGCTTTCCTCTCCTTTTGCTTCCATGTAGCATTTTAATATACTAAGCATTTTGACTTCATTGAGATTAGTCAATCCATTTTCCAGGTAAAGATACAGCCATGAAGATATACAAGGCTAAGAATTAGTTTACTGGTCTGTGTAAATTCTGCAAGTGGGGAAACTTAGTTGTTGAAAGCAGATCTCATTATGTTCAAACCTATTAGTTTCATGATACAGAGTACCCAAAACTCTTAGATATAGACATGGAAGTTGCTTGTGGGTCGGTGAACTTTTTTGTCAATTTATTTTCTACCTCATTAAAGCAATATTCAGCTGTAGCAAAATATGTGAACTCCTTCTTGAATAGAAATAGAATACTAACATTGCTCTTTCCTCATTGTTGCATTCTGTATTGCTGTCTTAGGATGTCAGCCATGGATTAACTGAGGTAAGTTTGGTGCAATAAAGTCTCATATTCATGAAGTATCTTGTTTTTTTCCTTAGTGAAGAGTCAAATTTGTGTTAAGTGTGATTTTTATATTTTAATGTGGCAGTGCACTTAATCTCAGCAGAGGCAAAGACAGGCAGATGTCTGAATTTGAGGCCAGCCTGGTCAAAAATCAAGTTCCAGGGAAGCTGTTGCTGGGTATGATGGCATGCTTTTTTAATCCCAGCACTTGAGATGCAGAGGCAGGCAGATATCTGAGTTTGAGACAGTCTGGACTACATAGTGTGAGGTTTTTTGTTTGTTTTTTTTTTTTTGGTTTTTCGAGACAGGGTTTCTCTGTGGCTTTGGAGGCTGTCCTGGAACTAGCTCTTGTAGACCAGGCTGGCCTCGAACTCACAGAGATCCGCCTGCCTCTGCCTCCAGAGTGCTGGGATTAAAGGCATGCACCACCAACGCCCGGCCCCATAGTGTAAGTTTTATCTTAAAATTTTATGAATGCTTATCTAATAGAGCAGAGTATTAAAGAAGCAAATTATCTGCTTTTTTAAACTAATAATTGCCATCAAACAAAAATGGTTCTTGTGTTACTCTACATATCATGTGTTACTTTGATATGTAGAGTTCCAGTACTTGGAGCTGAATAATGAGTGACCCTAAGCTTTCTTTTCAGAACTGGCTGGGGATATTATGTTACTTCTTTTATGTTGTGATGTTAAGTTTTGTTTTGCTTTCCTTTAGGCTTTACTTGATGTGGTTCTCCTGAACTAAGGAAGTGTTAGCTTATATTATAAACGATTGTTTGCTTCCTTGGGCAAGTATCACATAAAATTATGCAAAGATAGGACTGGTATCAGGGATGGCTCAGTGCTAGAGTTCTTCCTGTCACGCACAAGGCTCCATTCGAAGTCCCCAGCACCATAAGATTTTGTGTTGGGGGGCTGGAGAGATGGCTCAAAGGTTAAGAGCACTGGCTGCTTTTCCAGAGGTCCTGAGTTCAATTCCAAGCAACCACATAGTGGCTCACAACCATCTCTAATGAGATCTGGTGCCCTCTTCCGGCCTGCAGGCATACATGCAGACAGACATTGTATACATAATAAAAATCTTTTTTTAAAAAAAAAAGATTTTGTGTTGGGAGAGGGGAGATGAAAACACAGTTTTGAAAACATGATTAGGATTTGAAATATTGCAAACACATAGACTATAGGACGTAAACCCTATGGGGTCACCTAAGACCTTCAGAAATATCAGGTATTTTACATTACAATTCCTAAGCTTAGCAAAATTACATTTATGAAGTAACAACAACAAAAAATTATGGTTGGGGGTCACCACAACATGAGGAACTGTATTAAAGGGTCACAGCATTAGGAAGGTTGTTAACCTCTGGGCTAAACAGAGATCCTTAGTGATGTATAGAAATGGAAGACTCAGGAACAGGACCTACATGGTAAAAGGAAAGAACTAAGTATTGCAGGTAGTGCTCTGACCTCCAAATACACTTGATGGCATGCATGCATAGATAAGCACAAACTACAACTTAAAAGATTTTTGTAAAAGTTTCAGCTGTGTGGCTCAGCAGATAAAGGCACCTGTTGTCAAGCCTGACAGCCTGGAATCAGTCCATGGGACCCACCTGATGGAAAGAACTCACCTCTGACCTTCACGTACATGCTATGTATGACATCAGCATGCCCAAATACATACTCATATAAGGATTTTTTAGGCAAGTATGGTGCACTTGGAAGGCAGAAGCAGGTGGATTTCTGAGTTCTGGGCCAGCCTGGTCTACATGCATATCGAGTTCCAGGGCTGTGTAGAGAGACTGTGTCTCAAAAGCCCAAAACAAAAATCACCTGGGGGTTACTGTTTTGGTATCTTGTTTACATTAAATTCCCTTGTGGCACACAACATCATCGCAGCACCTTGGAGGTGAAGATGGGAAGTTCAAGAGTTTTCGGCCTGCCTGGGCTTAAACAAAGAGCCAAGAATGGAGTTCAGTGGTTGAGCACTTTTGAACACTCACAACACCTTGAGTTCATTAGCCACCTGTTATTTGCAGTTTTATGGATTCTAAAAGTATGCGATTTTCTCTTGGTTTATCCTAATACTGTGTATAATTCTTTCTTGGTTTATTCTAACGTTGTATACAATTTTTAAAAAATCCTATAATCAAAAATGAGTGACCTGGGTGGTGGTGGTGCACACCTTTAAACCCAGCACTTGGGCGGCAGGGGCAGGTAGATCTATGTATGTGTTCGAGGCCAGCCTGGTCCACAGAGTAAATTCCAGGAGAGCCAGGGCTACACAGAGAAACCCTAAACAGTTTTTGATCATTTCTAACCATGCCAGTGAGGGAACAAAGAGTATGATTGATGATCATCTTTACCAAAGTTGACGTCACCCACACACCACAACCAGCTTGAACTAATAAGTTAATTTTTTTTCTTTTCAGTTGGCAGATATCCCTGTGACAATTTGTACATATCCATTTGTATTTGATGCCCAAGCAAAAACTACTCTGTTACAAACAGATGCAGTCTTACAGATGCAGGTAAATACTATACAATGCTAATTTGATATGTGGATGCTTTTTTAATATTTGAAACACACAATAACCAGTAATGTATGGGAATAGTATTGTAGACTGTCCTTTGCATTATACTCAAAAATACACAAATATGAAAGTTGCTTGTTTTCAAAACATAGCTATGTTAAGTTTCTGCCTCCAGGTCCCTGCCTTGAGCTCCTGTCCTGGCTTTGATTTGTGTAGGACTGTAAGCTGTAGAATAAAAAAAAAATTCCTCCCCACACCCCCAAGAAGGAACTACAATAAAAATAGAGCAATGTAGCCTTTGTTCATGTTATTTGAGAAAAGATGGAAGGAATGAAAGGTGAGATAAAATCAAACTTGGAAGCACTTCATCACTTAAATTTAAGAGTTTGAAATTCCCTGGAGCCTGCCTGGCATGGTGACATACCCATTTAACCCCAGCTCTGAATTCAGAGGCCAGCCTGGTCTAAATAGCCAGGTCCAGAACAGCCAGGACTACATAGAGAGACCCTCTATGAAGAAAGGAAGGAAAAATGTCCTTGAGGTTGATCATAGATTTTTTTTGTTTGTGTTTTTCTTTTCTTTTTTGGGGGGAAGGCGGGGGTGGCTCTTGTGGGGGAAGAGGGAGGGGAGGACAGGTTCTCACTGATTGGCTAGCCCAGGATAGCCTCAACTGCTGAGTTCTGCCTCCAGAATAACCTCTTTTCCTTCCTTTTTCCTTTTACAATGTGGTTTCTCGTTCATAATGAAGATTTTAAAAACTAGTTAATGGAAGAGGCTAGGTAGGGTAGGGACAGTGTCTCAAAGTAAAATTGTGATTTTGTTTTCTAGATGGCTATTGACCAGGTTAATGAAACTGTCTCAAAGTAAAATTGTGATTTTGTTTTCTAGATGGCTATTGACCAGGCCCACAGGCAGAATGTCTCCTCTCTTTTTCTCCCGGTGATTGAGTCTGTGAATCCCTGCTTAATTCTAGTGGTTCGAAGAGAGAATATTGTAGGAGATGCAATGGAGGTCCTCCGGAAAACCAAGAGCATAGACTACAAAAAGCCACTCAAAGTAAGTGAGCACCTCTTTACGTACATTGGGACTTTTATTTAAAAGTTGTTTCGGGTCTTTTTTCTTTTTCTGTGTAGCTTTGGAACGTGTCCTGGAACTCCTCTGTACTGGCCTTGAACTCACAGATACCCACCTGCCTCCACCCCTTAAGTGCTGGGATTAAAGGCATTTGACACCATCACTCGGTCTCTTTCAGGTCTTTTTAGGCTTGTGTGTGTGTTTAATGTTTTTGTGGTTGTTGGTTGTTTTATTTCATTTTATTTGTATGTTCTGCCTCTTTGTATGTGCACCTTGTGTGGCATGATGCCTGGAGCAGTCAGAAGAGAGGGTTAAAGGTGTGCGCCACTGCCTCCCAGCTAAATTGCTAAGACTTATTAGCAATGAACAGCTGTAACAGGATCTCTGAAATGTACTTCCATTTCTTTACAGTCTATTCAGTGTTCACATTCCCCTGTTTTAGGTTATATTTGTTGGAGAAGATGCTGTTGATGCAGGAGGTGTACGCAAAGAATTTTTCTTGCTCATCATGAGGGAGTTATTGGATCCTAAATATGGCATGTTTCAATATTACGAAGATTCCAGGCTCATTTGGTTTTCAGATAAGGTAAAGTGCCCATTTACCATAGTTTTTTCTTTTTGTTTGTTTGTTTTAGTTTTTAAAGACAAGGTTTCCCTGTGTAGCTTTGGAGTCTGTCCTGGAACTCGCTCTGGAGACCAGGCTGGCCTCGAACCCACAGAGATCCACCTGCCTTTGCCTCCTGAGTGCTGGGATTAAAAGCATGCACCACCACTGCCGGCCAGTTATTTCTTTGTATCTTTGATTCTATACCCTATGTATCAAATTGACTCAGGAAGATGAGATTCCTAACATGTTTTGGTCAGAGGTTTGCTTTATTACAACTCGAAGTTAGGAACACAACCCTGATTTTTATACATTTAAAATTAAGAAGATAAATTGAGAAACAGTCAGCTTAAAAATAGTCCCGATGGATGGTAGTGCCTCCTGCCTTTAATCCCAGCACTTCGGAGGCAGGGGGGTAGATCTCTGAGTTCCAGGACAGCCAGGGATACACAGAGAAACCCCATCTCTGGATAAAAGAAACAAACTGAATTTTCCTTCTGTGTATTTCATTTTGAAAAACCGATAATAAGGGTGAATTCATTTAGCATTAGAGATTATTGATGTCTGTTACAAGTGAGATTAAGGGCCGTACATCATAGTGAGTCAGATCTTCCACCACACATTTTCATGTAGGAAGCCGCTTGTTGGCTGCTTTTGATGTGTATGCGACAGAGGCAGAGTTGATTAGTTACAAGGACCCTGTGTACAACGAAAATTAAGATATTTACTAGCTGGTCTGTGTGTGTGTGTGTGTGTGTGTGTGTGTGTGTGTGTGTGTGTGTGTGTGTGTGTGTGTATACACAAATACATAGTCTTTGTTGCAGGAGGCTGGCTGTCTTGTGTGATGGTAGCAGTTATTGATATTCAGTGCCTAGGATAATTCTTGAGGGATAATAAAATAATGCTGCTATAATTATTACACTATCTTGCATGATTTTTATAGAGGAAATAATCCTTATTTGGTAGATGTCTAGTTCACCAGGAAGGGGTTCTGTATGTTCAGTTACCTGTTCTTTTTTTAAGATTTTATTTATTATGTGTACAACATTCTGCTTCCATGTATATCTGCACACCAGATCAGAACACTGCATTTCATAACGGATGGTTGTGAGCCACCATGTGGTTGCTGGGAATTGAACGCAGGACCTCTGGAAGAGCAGTCAGTGCTCTTAACCTCTGAGCCATCTCTCCAGCCTCCAGTTACCTGTTCTTAAATAGACCAAATGTTCACTAGAGTCCAGCAATAGTTACAGTGTAGTATTTGATATTGTGTTTCTAAGTTTGTTGCCATTGTTTTCTTTACTGATACTCACATTGTCTTATCTTGTCTATTGAGGCTTCAGGGTATTGCTTGGCACCTTGTTACACACCCTTAGGTCTCTGGTAGTTTCACTAAATGTCCTATACTTTAAAAATACAGCCAAACAGTGGCACCAATTTTATGCAAATGAAAATACATTTTAAGTTATTGTTTGATTTATTTATCTTTAGGATATAGCCATGTAGATAAACACAACCAGTGATGTTTGCTGTCATTTGAAATAGTTATACTCTATTATTTTGATTATTATGATTATTCTATTAGTGAATACATATTTAGGTTAACATAGAGGATTCTTTTTTGAATTGGTTACTTTAGTGTAATTTACTTTTATAAATCTATAATGTGCCATTATATAATCAAATTAAGCAATAACATAAATTGGAAGAAGCCAAGCTTTATGTCATTTTCTCTCTCCTTCTGTAAATAACTCATTTGGGTTTTTTGTTGTTGTTGTTGTTGTTGTCCTGTCTATCTATCATCTATCTATAATGAGGTCTCTGTGTAGTCCTGGCTGTCCTGGGAACTCAGTATGTAAACCAGACTGGCCTCAAACTACTAGATCCCCCTGCCTATGCCATTGTATGCCATCACCACAGCTGAGTTTCTCATACTTTGAGTTTAGCCTCCCAAGTTGCCAGGATCACATGGGGGTGCACCACAATAACTATGAATGCATGTTGTACTTAGGTATTTTTGTTTTTGTTTGAGACCTGGTCTCACTGTGTATCTCTGACTGGCCTGAAGCTCCTTTGTAGACCAAACTGGACTCCGACTCAGAGAGCCACTGGAATTAATGGTGTGCTCTGCCACTGTCAGCCTTGAATTTAAGGGGGGAAAAAAGTTACTGTTTTAAGGGCTGTGTTTATGGCTCAGTTGTTAAAGCACATGCCTTGAAAGCATATTAAGCATATATAATATAATATATATTAAATCTCCCCCCCCCAAAAAAAAACCAGCTTGGAGAAAACAGGATATAATAACTCATACCTATCTAATCCAGTGCTTGAGATGTGAGTCTTAGGACAGCTTAGGCTCCACTTGGACTTCCAGTTCTAAGCCAGACCATCTCAAAAACATGTCTCAAAAAAAAACCTAGGCATGGTGATAAATGGGACTTCAGTGCTAGGAAGGCAGAGGCAGAAGATGCTTGTTTCTGGGAGGAAAGTCAGTTGTGAAGCCATGTGTCTGTCTGTAGTCCTGATTCCATTTGCCAATGGAGACCAAGATGCCCTTGAACTTAGAGATCTACCTGCCTCTGCCTCCCACATGCTAATGGTGTACATTAAAGGTGTGCATCACCACTCATACTCATGGCTAATAAGCAAGTTTTTAAAAATAATGTGTTGAATGAAAATGTGCCCAGTTACTATTGTGCCTTCAGAATTTTTCTGCTATGGAGAATGTGTTTTTCTACTAAAAATTGGAGTTTTTAACTTGGAATAGACATATTTTTTCTTTGTCTTTTTAGACATTTGAAGACAGTGATTTGTTTCACTTAATTGGTGTTATCTGTGGATTAGCAATTTATAACTTTACTATTGTGGACCTGCATTTTCCTTTGGCTTTATATAAGAAACTACTGAAACGGAAGCCATCCCTGGATGATCTGAAAGAGCTGATGCCAGATGTTGGGAGGTCAGTGTTTAAAAATGCTTAGGGTAAGTAGGTCTAAGACAAGAGGAATGTACAGAAAGCTTTCCTCCTAGAAATAATCATGCTTTGTTGATGTGCTAACATTTTTTTAAGTAAACAATGTTTCATCAAAGGGAAGTCTAACATAATATGGAATTGTCAAAATAACCTGTTTTACTTTCAAGAACCTTTTTTTTTTTTTCTTTCCTGCAGAAGCATGCAGCAGTTGCTGGACTATCCAGAAGATGACATAGAGGAAACATTTTGTCTGAATTTCACGGTAAGATGAACAGAAGTCGGGTGACCTTACTTCACAGCTACACTTTAGGATTTCTCTTTTCCAATGTGTGTATATAGAAGTTTAAGCTGCTTGTATGTCTGCGCATAGCATGCATGCCTGCTGCCCATGGATGTCAGAAGAGGGTCCCCTGGGACTGAGTTACAGATTGGTTATGAGCTACCATGTAGATGCTGGGAATTGAAACCAGGTCCTATGGAAGAGCAGCCAGTGCTTTTAACCACTGAGCCATCTCTCCAGGCCTATTAATAGAATTCTTAACTCTGTACCTAACATTTACTGAGCATTTGCTATGTGCCCGCCACAAAACATGGATCATTTCATTTTATTCTCAACAGTCCTGTAAGATTGTTTTTATCCTTAATGTACAGATAAAGAAAACTGAAATAATTGCATGTCAGTCATTATTCATCAGCTCTGTGATTTCAGTAGTTACTAATCATAATTTTAAGGGAAGTAAATTCAGGACACTTACTCATTTCTGAAGTTTTATCTATAGGAATGACTAGAGATGGAAAGATTAGCAAAAGAAAGTATTACTAATAAACTTAAACTGCTTTGAACTCCTCCAGTATGTGTTTCACATTGAAGTCCATCCTTGACTCTTATTGTCATTTCTGTCCTTTCACTATGGATCCAGAATTGAACTCATGCTGTCAGGCTTGCAAAGCTAGCACCTTCACCCATTGAGCCATCTTGCCAGACATCTTAGATCATTATAAGACTGGAATGTGAATGGTGTATTTGTAAGGAAATCTGATACGTGTTTAAGCTGAAGTAAAAATTACTTTTTTTGCCTCACAAGAAAAATCTTCCTGTGGGCTAGAACATTTACTGCTTTTGCCAAGGACTCAAGTTCAGTGTCCAGCACACTGTTTGGAAAGCTAACAGTTGCCATTGACGTAGCTAACCTCTGTTCCCCACAGGCACCGGCACTTAGGGGCACATACCCTCACACAGACCTACAGACCCAAGTTGAGGGCTTCTATTTGGATGACCCCAAATATAGAGTACTTTTATGTTTGGGTGCTGTATGAGATCAAAGTCCAGCTTGATGAACCTGTGAATTTTATTGGGGTTACTTACAGGAGCAGAAATGACAGCAGCATCACCAAGGCCCACCCCAGCATGAGTGACAGCTCACAAAGCTAGTGACCTAGAACACAATGCACAGCCTGCAGGCAGTTTAACAGGTTGGAGAGTGTCCTTTCCAGGCACCTCTCCTCTAAACCTCTTCCAGACAACTTGGTTGTTTCTGCTGCTTCCAGGCACCTGGTCTGCTCTGAGTGTTCTTTGCAGAGAACTACCTGGCTGTTGTTTACCTGCTCAAGGAGCTTCCCTGCCAAATGAATTATTTCAGTCTCAGGGGAAACTCTGGGCAGTGGGCAGAATTAGATTGATAGGTTACTTTAAAAACAAACAAACAAAAAAACACAAAAATCTGAGAACTATGTTTAAAAAAAAAAAAACTAGTTAACCATGGGGGGCAGGGAACTAAGCTGGGCATTGGTGGCACACGCCTTTTATCCCAGCACTTGGGAGGCAGAGGCAAGCAGATCTTTGTGAGTTCGAGGCCAGCCTGGTTGACAAGAGCTAGTCCCAGGACAGCCTCCAAAGCCACAGAGAAACCCTGTCTCGAAAAAAAAAAACAAAAAACAGCAACAAACTAATAATAGTAACGAGGTCTCAAGGTGCACACTTCAATCTCGGCACTCTTAAGACAGAGGCAAATGAATCTCTGAGTTCAAGGCCAGTCTGGTCTACATGTTGAGTTCCAGGAGAGCCAGAGCTACACTTTTTTGGGAGGACGGGGTGCACTGATGTTGAGGAGGAGGAGGGGGGGTCTTACTTAGAATGCTTTCCTATTTCTATGAAATTTTGGTTCCCCTTTTCAGTGGATTCACTTGTGTCAATTTAAGATTCCTTGACTTTTTTTAAACAAGTATTTTATGTGCATTGGTGTTTTGCCTGCATGTATGTCTGTATGAAGATTTTGGATCCCCTAGAACTGGAGTTACGGATAGGTAGTTGTGAGCTGTCATGTGAGTACTGAGAATTGAACCATGTACTCTGTAAGAGCAGCAAATGCTCTTAACCACTGATAGGCCCAATTCTTTGACTCTTTGTTAACTAAAATATTGAGTTCTATAAAGTTTTAAGTTCTAATTATTTATCAGTACATATATTCCTATATATTTAGGGACATTGATAAACCAAACATTTCTCCAACTGTCCTGTCGTAGAGATTCTCCATACTCCTTTTATCTCTTGCACAATAAAAGCCATGAGAACATCATTTCTCTTTAAAGAATTATTAATTCTGTGTGTGTATGCACAGGCATACACACTGAACATGTAGAGTTCAAAGAAGAACTTAGGGGGTCAGTTCTCTCCTCCCATGTGTGGGGCTTAGAGGTTGTACTCAAGTTTCAGGTTTGGCAGCAGGTGCTGAGCCACCTCAACACCTCCTGAATTATTTGTGTGATGTGTGTACATTGTTTTTCCATGAGTGCACGTGGAGGCCAGAGGGTGGCATGTCTTCCTTATTGCTACTTGTTTTTTGAGATGGGATCCTTTAACTCACTGCATTTGCTGGACTGGCTGGCCTGATCTGCCATGTCTGCCTTCTCCACATCTAGTCTTGGTGTTGAGGATCCAACTCAGTTCCTCATTCTTGCAAAGCAGGCACTTTATCCTCTGAGTCATTTCTTTAGCTGCTAACTTGACTTCCTTTCCAGCTTATTCCTCTATTTATATAGTTCTTTGCCTTTTTTTTTTTTTTTTTAAGAGCCTTCTGCCATGTACTTTCATAAGTTTATTATTTACTTCCCCGCCACCACCTCTTTTTGAGACAGGGGTTTTGTTTTGTTTTGTTTTGTTTTTTAAGATTTTATTTATTTATTACGTATACAGTCTTCTACCTGCATGCCAGCAGAGGGCACCAGATCTCGTTATAAATGGTTGTGAGCCACCATGTGGTTGCCGGGAATTGAACTCAGGACCTCTGGAAGAAGAGCCATCTTTCCAGCCCGAGACAGGGTTTCTTTGTGTATCCCTGGATGTACCAGAGCTAAGTCTGTAGAGCAGGCTGGCCTTGATGGATCTTGCCTCCCAAATGCTGGAATTAAAGGCGTGTGCCACCACTGCCAGGCATTTTTACTTTCTTATTTATCCTTCTGTTGAGTTGATGTATGTGGTAGTGTAGTTTTGTTGAGATGATTCCGTGTATTGTGGTCAAATTGTGTTGATTTCTCCTTTACAACATAGTGAACCGAAAGCAAGAATGTAACCCCATAATGCTTTGTGGATACAAAAATAGACTACTAGGAGAAATAAAAGCTTTTAAAATAATATGCCACCTTATAAACCAAGTTAATGTGTAACTAAAACCTGTTACGTGAGCAGGGCAGAATATGGGAAAGTTTTCGTCATATGGAAACGTGCATTGTGCTGATGTTAGCAGAGATAGCTTAGTCTCCTGAGGAAAATGTCCTTCCTTCGATTTTGTTACATTCTGAAGCCGTTTATGAGAAATGCTCAAGTTGCCAACTACTTGGTAATGTATTGGGGGTTGCTGAGGGATATCAGACCACTGGAAAAGGTGCCTAGTTGTGGCTCTAGTTGCTCTTTTTAGCATAAATTTGTATATTTGATGAGAAAAGAGTGTTAGGTTTAAAAGTTTCGAGCCTGACATTGACCTTTAATTTTTTTTAATAGATCACAGTTGAAAACTTTGGTGCAACAGAAGTGAAAGAGCTGGTTGTGAATGGTGCAGACACAGCTGTTAACAAACAAAATCGGTGAGTGGATTGCAGTGGCCCAGGCATTTTCTAAACCTGTCACAACAGTATTGTAGGTTGTGTATGGCGGTGAACACCTTTATTCCCAGCACTTTAGGAGACAAAGACAGGTGGATCTTGCTGATTTAGGCAGGACTACATGATGAGACCCTATCTCAAAACAGTTCAAAAACAAACAAACACACCGTAATTGAATGTTTAGTGGGAAAAGTAATAATAGGTCTTTATAGATCATGAATAAAGGAACATAAGAGAAATGAAACAACAGCAAATATGGTTTGAAAGGAAGTGGTGGCAATTAATTAATAAATCCGAGAAGCTATGTAAGATGGACTTCAGAAACCACCAGTTCAGTTTGCAGAACAGCAGCTCAGACAGAGTCAGACTCACTCTTCAAAAGTGAGAGTTGCTGGAAGCAGGAAGATTGGCTTTGGTAAAGAATCAAACTGAAACCTTTCCTTGGGCTGAAGAGATGGCTCAGAGGTTAAGAGCACTGGCTGCTGCTCTTCCAGAGGTCCTGAGTTCAATTCCCAGCAACCACATGGTGGCTGACAGCCATCTGTAATGAGTTCTGGTGTCCAAGCACATAAGCAGGCAGAACACTCTATCTACAATAAGTAAATGTGTGTGCTGTAATTTTAAAAAAAAAGAAACCTTTCCTTACCATGTCTATTAACCCAGCATTGTCCCTGGGGGCATATGGTTGCCTGTAACTCCAAAATTAGGTGGTCAGAAGACAACCCAAGAGAATTCTTTCTCTCCCTCATCTGGCTGGGCAGCAAGTGCATTTAGCCAGTAAGCCATCTGACCAGCTTTGCTTTTTTGTTTATAGTTTCCATGATATGAGAGGCAGGAAAAGAACACACATTTGAAAAGAAACTATTAGCCTGGCAGTGGCAGCAAAATGCCTTTAATCCCAGCACTCTGAAGGTAGAGGCAGCTGGATCTCTGAGTTCAAGGCCAGCCTGGTTTACAGACTGAGTTCTAGGACAGCCAGGGCTATGCAGAGAAATGCTGTCTTGGAAATCCAAAAGAGATTGTATTTGTAACTTTTAAAGATGACCTTGAAAGAAGGACTGCTTACTACCTGTTCCTTGGAAGTGAATATTGTATGGATTGCTTGAAACTGTAGCATAGAGCTCCTGCTCCCAGGGTACTTTCTCTTGTCACCCACAATTACAGCAAATCACCTTCAGGAGTACTTCTGAAGTGTATTTCTCAGTGATTTGGGTGGATTTTGAAAATATTTGATAGCCAGTTGCCTGACTCTGAATAGAAAATTACTTTTATTACCAGAAGTAACCTTATAGACAGGGTCTCTACATAGTGTTTGGTGTGATTTTTTTCCTCCCTATAATGGTGGTGTCCCTTTGAACTCTGCTAGCAAGAAGTGAAGGAGCAAACACTTAATTGACAGCATTGGGTATTCTCCATAAATGGTACATGTGAGCTAAGTGTCTATGCCTTGCTTTCGTTTCTAGGCAAGAGTTCGTTGATGCCTATGTGGATTACATATTCAATAAGTCGGTGGCGTCTTTATTTGACGCTTTCCATGCAGGCTTTCATAAGGTCTGTGGAGGAAAAGTCCTTCTGCTCTTCCAGCCTAATGAATTACAAGCTATGGTTATTGGGAATACAAATTATGACTGGAAAGAACTGGAGAAGGTAGGAAAAACCAGCCTTTACTTGTCAGTGGAAAGGGAAGAAGATGGCTTAGTGGAAATCTAGCCTGTCTGTATGCTATTGCCCTTCATACCACACATGGCTATGGATAGATATCCCTGTCCCTCCTACCCACAGTGCACAAGTGTGTTGTTTAATACTAATGAGGTGCTTGGCAAAGTGCTGGAGTGTCCTCCAAACTGAATGGCTATCCAACTGGTGCTTAAGACTTTTGTTTCCCTAGTGTTAAAATTGGTGCCTTAATGTCAAGCTCATCCCTTTACAGAGGGGATTACAAAGGAAAGACTTCTAGGAGGCTGTTGAGGGTCATCTTAGAGACTGACTACCACAGAACATTGTCGGTGTTCCTCTTTGTTTAAAAAAGTAGAAAGTTTGATTTCTCTTCCTGTATAAAATCCCATGTTGGTATTTTAATAAACCTTTTATACAATTTTAATAAATCCTTATTGATAGTGTTGCTCAGGCATTTCTGTTGATTTTAGATTTGTTCTTCCCTTTTCCTGGGAACCAGTAGCTTCAAATTGCAAAGTGCAGGATTGCAGTAGTTCTTACTCGTCAACCACAATAAAGTTGCTTAAAAAAGGTTGCATTCTTTTTAGAATACAGAATACAAAGGGGATTATTGGGCAGAACATCCCACGATAAAAATTTTCTGGGAAGTATTTCATGAATTACCACTGGAAAAGAAGAAACAATTTCTATGTAAGTATTTCTGACCAGCTGCATAGTCTATGAAACAACAATCTAAACATTAAAATTGTAAAATACTAGCTCAATTTTTAAAATTAGTTTTTGATATTTTTAAGATTTTTACTTACATGTACACAAGTGTCCTCAGAGGCCAGAAGAGGGTATCAGATCCTCGAGATGTTGCTTCAGGATCTGAATGCTGAGAACCTAACTTGGATCCTATGCTACAGGGCATGGCTTGATTTCCTTTCCTATCTGTTACCTTTTATAAGGGTTATAGGTATGCCTCTGCAGCTCTCCCCACTTATCTATACAGTTAAGAGTGTACCCTGATTTTACAAGTAGCCAGTCAAGTTCAAGGTCTGCTGGAAATAGTTTAGTATGGACAGGTACCAAGATCCTGTTTCAAAGTGAAAGGTAGCTTAGCATTAACACCTGACTCTGAATCCAGAACCTGGTACCACATGGCAGGAGCTAAACTTCTGAAAGTTGTTTTGACAAATAAAAAAACTAGTTTAGTTCTCTAAATGGCTCTTCTAAAAAGGACTTCTAAATGTTTGTCAATACCAACATTGTTCACCAAGTATTTATTGAGCACTTCCTGTAAAATTAAGGTCATACAGTGTGTGAATGTTCATGCAAAGCTAGGCTGTGGTTACTGGACTGTTTGTCTAAATAATTTTCTTTTTGGCAGTATTTTTGACAGGTAGTGATCGAATTCCCATTCTTGGTATGAAGAGTCTGAAACTAGTCATCCAATCAACAGGAGGTGGTGAGAACTATCTCCCGGTTTCCCATACCTGTTTTAATCTTTTAGATCTCCCAAAATACACAGAAAAAGAAACTCTACGATGTAAACTGATCCAAGCTATAGATCATAATGAAGGATTCAGTTTAATATAGCCTTGGAGTTCTGACTGTTCTGTTTAATACAAAGGCATCAAACCACTTGTTTTTCTTGTGAATGCAGCAAAGTAAGAAGTACTTGTAATTCTTACTTGCAAATTGTTCACTGCTGTATTGATGAAAGCCAAATATTAAAAATTGAGCAACTGTTAATACTAAACTTACTGTACATAACCATTAATTGTCCCCATCCTCAAACATACAAGTATTGTGAATACATTAAAGTTTTACTAACAGGAATTTTAAGAGTTTGCATATTTCAAAATGACCTGATGTGAGTGCATGGAAATGTTGCTTAATGTTTCTTCAATCAAAAGCCTTTAACTGTGGCCTGCCTTTAGTCATTTATTTTTCCATTTTGTAAATAAAAGTTTTGTAATAAAATAGTGACATTCAGATACCAGTAGTTTCTATGGTGGTAATAATTGAAATGAGCTGAATGTTTAGGGTTACAAATTATGATTCAGTCTGACTATAAAAGCATGGTAGAAACAAATCTTCTTGCTACATTAAATGTCCATGCAGACCTAAATTACAAATAAGTATTAACTTGTAGCTCTTGCCTCTTTTCTGAGTCATGAGCTATGCTGGCTGGTGGTGCTGTCAAAATCTGTTGACAGAACCAGTGGCCACTGTGAGAATCAATCACAAGCCACAGCAAAGCTGATGCTGCAGTATTTATTAAATTCTCAGTGCTTTAGGAAGTCTTAATGTTAATAAGTTATGAAAGTTGATGCAATACATGTGACCCCACTAGCTACGATGCAAATATTTATTTTTTAAATTAAAAAATGCCATGAAAAGCTTAAATAAAGACTTTAGTAGCTTAATTATTTCAACTTCCAGTGGTTTTCATCTGATTCAAACTTAGGGAGTTTGTGTCTGTCTTTTGTGTGCACCATATAGATGCAGGTACCCACATAGGCCAGAAGCGGGCATTGGACTTGCAAGCTCCCTAATCTGGGTGCTGAGAACTGTGTACAAGCAGTTAAGCACTCAACTGCTGCTGGTCAGTCTTCTTCCTGTAAGTCTACAAATCCATCTGAATTTTTCACTAAATGGGACTCCCTGAGTGTCTTTTTATATTTCCCTTCAAGGTTCACTCTTCCCTGTAACAAGGATATCTTACAAATGTAGCAATATAATATTGCTAAAAGTACCATTTAAGCGCAGCATGGTGGCACACAAACTCCCTCCCTCCCAGTGCTTGGGAGACAGAGTCAAATGGATCTACAACTTTATAGAATTTTTTGCATTTTTCTTTTCTATGGTCTCAGTGGCCCTACTGTCTCAAGGCATGCACACCTGGCAGTTCATTTCTTGCTCTATGACACAAGTCTATTACTACATGGTGAGGCTCTGGCTATTTCTGGAGTCATCTGATTCGACATCTTGAGGCATGAGGGAAAACAGACAGGCCACTAAACCATTTCTCTGCTTTGATGTTTAGCTTGCCGATCATTTGGTCCATAAACACACTCCCAAGTTCCAGGTCATCTACATGGCCAATTTGAGATTCACTGTCAACAGTAGGTCAGACACCAGAAGAGAAGACCCCCATACCAACACCACTCTGTCGTGTAATACTTTGACAGTCAGGTTTAAGTTCCTGAAGAACCAGTGTTGGCAAGAGAGCCTTAATTGGGCTGGTAAGTTAACAGGGAAAAAGAGGTCAAATGACAGTTTTAATATAAGACTTTAAAACAAGATACAAGTATAAAACACTGCTTTTGTATTTCAAAAGTCAGAGGAAGATAATCCAGTCATTAAACAGTCTACAAAACATATGCCAGATTACATAAAAGTCTATGTACAATATAAAAAGAGCTGAAAACAGTCTTCACTGTAAAAATAATTTAAAACAAATTTTTCAATTTAAAATATTGTCTATAGCACAAACACATCATGCAAAAAGGAAAACTAAAATATACTAAATTCTTTAGTGTAAGCCAAATGAAGATTGAGATTTTTTTTTTTAGGTAGGGAAATGAGCCACTTAATTTTCTCCTCTGGCAGTAACGGTCCCAGCTGGGTATTTTGTATGCATGAAGAACAGCTATATTTCAAAACATTTTTGTAATAAATACTAAACCAACAAATGAATATATTTAAATTTGGGGATAATGTTCCAAAGAAGTGTGTCAAATTAATACTGACTGCAATTTTTTTGAGGTTTGAACTGTTTGAAAGGCTAAGAGCTTCTACAGTTCAAAAAATTGATAACTAGTTTTAAGGCAAGCTAAGCTTTTAAATAAATAAGTAGTTTCGTTAACTATTAATTTGTATTCATCTCCATAATACAAGGCTAATACTTTGGGATACATTACACCAAATTCTCTAACAGGAAACAAAGTACTCTCTGGCTGAGTTACAATTTATCTTATTACTTTGGAACTTTAAGAGACCCGTTGTTTTCCTCACTAGTGGAAAAACAGCAGTCCAAAATATTACACTCTCCCCAGTAGAAGTACCATTATTAGATTCAAAAAGGCTTTGCATATTCACATCTTGGCAGTTTAATACTTGTGGTGAAGATCTATGCAGGCTCTACCACAGTGATAGGTTAAACAATGGCAAATATTTAAACTAAGGAAACCTACAAACAGGCACTATTGTTTCTAGAGCAACTGAAACATTTTCAAATCATTTATCAGGTTAGTCTGAGGGGCTTGTTTGGATATTACCACACAGCTGCAGCAAGTACAAAAGCCTTATGCAGTAAACACGCTTCAAACTCTAAGCACCCACTTCTGAGTGCTCCACACACACATGCTGAATCCCTTCTCACACTGTAAGTCATCTGTGATTTTAAAAAGTTAGCTGCCACAAGTTATTGAAAATGCCAGTGTTTAAAAAGGTAACTGCTAAAAATAAAAGTGCAGCAAAACAGAAATTGAGGATTTCAAACTATTCAATGTTACAAACAAAAGTGTGAAATACCATTCTTTGGTCTAGATAAGCTGTTCCCTTTACATTAATTAACATTCCAATGGCTTTTTGAAAACTTTTAAAATGTTGAAAATCATTAAGCAAAACCAAAATTATATATACATATGGATGTATCATACAAATGAACCTTTAAAGGAAATTGAAGTCAACTAACAGCTGAGTAAAGATACCTAGTACCTTTAAAAAAAAAGTTAGTGTTGAATGTACAAGTACAGAAATGATGGAACTTTAAAAATTAGAAGACAATCTTATTTTCCAGTCTATAAATATTACATCTTTCTGATTTCCTTGTTCAAGTTCACAAGTAAACATTCATTTTGACATGCTGAAGTTCCCAATGCTGGTGGAGCAATTCCTGTACCTGGACAACTGTAATGATGTTATGATTTGTCTGATGGATAGTTTACATCTGTCGCTTCCTGTCTCATGGCTGTGGCTTCATGAACTAACTCCTGCTCCCCTCCATCCACTCCAAGTCCAGATCCTCCAGTACCTTCAGGTCTATCAGTATCATCTTCCAAGCCATTGTAGAACTCTTCAATTTCACTTTCATCCTCCATGGGTTCTTCTAAACTTGGACTCTGGCATGTGCCACTGTCACTGTTACTGCCACAGGAACTAGAGGATAAGATGTCATCTTCAGAGTCTGAGTATACCTCCGCGCCATGGAATATGTAACGGTTTGGTGGTACAAACAAGTATTGATTACCTGAAATACAGCAGTAAAAAGTTACTTTTAGTTATAAAAGTCTAAGAGGGCTCACAAACTTCCTAGTTAGTGGTTTTGTTACACTGATCTGCCAATTTCCAACTAAATCTCCAAGTGTGTATGTTCAGACTTGGGAAGGGGGTATGTTGCATAACTAAATCACCTCTCCCACCATTTAATGTTTACCTGGGAAAAAACGATAAACTATTGCATAAGAAGTTGGGCTTTTATCAGGGTGTTTTGCCGAGTGGTATTTAGTTCAAAACTAAGTTTCATTCCGCTTTAGAAGCATTAAAACATTTTATGACCTATTTTTTACAATTATAATACTCAACTATTGAATTCGTATACAGAATTACACAAGCCAGGTATGGTGGTACATATAATTATCTAAAATTCCTCAGCTGGGCTATGATGGCTCACACCCACAATTCTAGCACTCAAAGGGGAAGGATCAGTGCTAAATAATTTCAAAGCTGGGCGTCAGCACTCAGGGCAGAAAAGCAGCATATCTCTTGTGGCCTCCCAGGGTTTTATATATACAGTACTCGGCTGTTGTCTAGATTGCTATGGTTTGAATGCACACATTTAAAGGCCAGCTTACTCTCCAAATGTGAGTGTCTTATCTAAAAACACCAAAGTCAATTGCTATAAAATATGGTAGAGTTTGTGCCATAACTTAAGCTTAAATTAAGTTAGGATTTACCCATATATAGTATTTTGGATTCTCCAACAGTTGATAGGACAAAACAGAATAGATGTCCAGTAGAAAGGAATCCTGTTTTCTGATCTGAAATTAGAGGGCCGAGTCTCTAGAAGAAGGTACAGCCTCAAGGCATATCTAGAATTTTTTCTGGCAGTACCATTTCCTAATTGCCCTCCAAGAGGTCATACATAACATGCTTCAATCCCAATTTTTACCTCCTACAACATGGTTCTCACCTTGTGAAAACAGCATGCATGTAAACTGACCCACAATAAGCAATCAATTCTCGGCCATTTACTGAGCAAGTGGGGAAACGGTGCCTTTACCTAATAAGCCTATCTTAAGTCATTTATGTTAGTGTGCTGTTTTAAGCAGTATAATTTAAAACCCACTTGGGACTGAGGCGATAGCTCAGTTGGTAGATCACTTGCCTAGCTGTTTGAAGCCCTGGGTTTAATCACAGTACTCTCTGCAAAAAATAAACATCACCTTTCTCCAACTGTACACAAAAACACATAAGACTACCCTCAAAACAGTTAAAAATTTTTCATAGTATTTGTGTGTATGCCCAAATCTGACACTGGGAGTCAGTTTTCTTGGATCACAATACTTTGAAAATGGTTAGACAAACAAAATTCCTTACCATCAAGCCGCTTGCTAATCTGCTCCTTTGCAAGTCTATTGGGCCAGCACTTTCTCACTGCTTCTGCAACTGAAGTTCTTTCATTTTTCTCTCCAGTACTGGAACCAACAGCCTTGAGATCTGGATTTTCCACATTAATGCTCTCAACACTCCTACAAGTCTGTGCTTCTTGTGACTTTTCTTCCACACAGCCTTCTGATTCAGATACTTCTAAATCAACTCTGTTCTCTGTTGCTTGGTCTACACATGTAGCAATCATGGAAGCAGAATCTTGTGGTACAGTTCTTTCAGGTGAACTCGAATCTTCCGAAATATGAAGAGGTGTTGGTGGCAACTCTGATAAATGAACCAATTCCTTTTGTGTTCGTGGTGGTTTTTCAGTGATTTCTGACA